TTAGTTTTTCTCTTTTTCTTTCAACATCATCTGTTTTTTCAAAATTTTCCAAAATCATTTATAAGGCCCTTTCGGCCCAGTGGGCTGAGAAGGTTTTCGAAATTGATTACGCCCTCTAAATAGGACTCCCTCTCCTGTTGTTTGTTCGTCTGGGGCAAGACATTTTATTTGTCGATCGGATGGGAAAGATAATGGCGGCTTTCCCTCACTATTGCCAGGAAGAATATGTAGAATAATAAATAGAGAAGTCGGGAAAGTAGTAAACATAAAAAAAGTTCGTGACGGTTTAATTTATATTGAAGCGTTCAATGAGGAACAAGGTAATAAAATAATGAAAATTAAAAATTTAGAAAATATACAGGTAAAGATTGAAAGAAATTAAAATTGATCACCTCAAAAGGTTTAATTTCTTGCTGGGACTTGAAAGAGTTTACTGATGAAGAACTCCTCAAAGAATTAAAGAGTTCTAATGTCATAAACATTCATCGGTTAAAAAGAAAAGATGGTAGGACATCTTTTTCATGGGTTGTCACTTTCAATACCCCGTGTCCTCCAAAAGAATTGTATGTTGCCTACATGAAGATAGCTGTAAGGTCATTTATTCCTGCTCCCCTACGGTATTTTAAATGTTTAGATTTTGGCCATACAATTTCTTCTTGTAATAAGAAGGTTTTTATGTGTGCATGTCGGCTGAAAAGGCACAAAAAGACTGTTCCTTGTCAGTCTCCAGGCCCAAATAACACCTTGGCGTGGCTTTTGCCGAAAATATAAACATGAAACCCAAATTTTGGAGCTGAAAGTGAAAAATAAAATAACGTTTAATCAAGCAAAGTCCCTAATAGGCTCTGGCTAGCCTTACTCAAAAAGTGATTACCATTGCTGAAAATGTTAAAATGGGCACGAAAGAAATAGGTAGTCATACGGAATCAGGGAACAACTCACTGAACTTAAAATCTGTCATCTTGCCAAAAAGAATCGAAACCAAAAATGGTAGAAACTATGGCCCAATGTTCCCTTATGGATCCCCCGTCAATATTTTTGTCCCCATCCTACCTCCCCCTTCCTTTTCACCACTCAACTCTCCTCTCCCTCATTCTGCTTCTCCGATTAATCGAGAACATCAAGCACCTTTGACCCCCAGAATTATGGAGCCCCCCCCCCCAAAAAAAAAAAAATAAGAGGGGTTGGAAAAAGGGGAGGCCAAGGAAAATAATTGTAGAAAATCTTATGTAGTCAGTCTAGCTGACTCGTGTGAGGTATAAAGTTGAAAATTTGAAATTAATATGGAATCAATCATCCAATGGAATGAAGGAAGACTGAAAAATAGTTATTGCTTTTGGAAGAAGATCATGGTGGACCATACTCCTTTTATCCTCGCTCTTCAGGAGACTCACCTTAAGGAAACGGAATCCTTTATATTGAGAGGTTATAGTGATTTTTCTAAAGAGGTTGAGGTTTCTGATGGAGGTAGGGCTCATGGGGGCGTGGCACTCTATATTCGAAATAATATTCCCTCTAGAAAAATTGATTTAAGTACCAATCTCCAGGCAGTAGCCGTTCAAGCACTTGCTCCATTAAAATATTCTGTGTGTTCAGTTTATTTTCCTAATAACTTTTTTTTCAGAAGAAGAAGTAAAAAATTTATTTTCACAACTTCCAGCCCCTGCAATGATATGGGCAATTTTAATGCTTATTCCATTACCTGGGGATGCTCATCAAATAAACTGAATGATGGAACATACACTCATCTGAATACTTATACCGGGTCAGTTAGTGCAATAGATCTGACGATTGTTTCTGTACGGTTTGTACCATTTGCTGTTTTATTAACGATTAGTTTTATTATATTTTCACCGATTAATTTTGGACAGGATCCTGTGCCAGTCAAGCCTGGTTTTTAACCAAGGACTGCAGGAAGGTCAAACCGCCGTGCATACAATCGAACGGAAACATTATGATCGGAGTGGAAGATTGCCTGTATTTGAACATCTTCACGCCGATCGTCAAACCCGAGGAGCGTTTTCCGGTCATAGTTTACATCCACGGAGGCTTTCAATGCCTTCAAAAGATGACCCCAGGACACGTGCAAAGTTCTGGGCTTAGCTTTGGCCTTTCAATCGAAACGGCAGGAACTCTCGTGGTGGGGGTGTGGCTATTGCTGTTAGAAAACGTTTAAAGCATGACCTCATTCGACTACCTGAATGCAAGTCCATAGAAATAGTAGGAATCAAACTCTACCTGAAGGGTAAATCACTACTGGTAGTAGTTTGTTACAAACCTCCCAATGTAAAATTAATAGACACAGAACTTCTTCAAATTTTAACACTTTCTGGGCCTGTCCTAATCATGGGCGATTTCAACGCAAAAAGCCATGCATGGAATTGTACTACCAATAACACCTGTGGGAATAAATTACTTGAATTATGTTTAAACAATCAGATAGTAATAGCAGCTCCCGACTCCCCTACGTTTTTTCCCTCCCATAACAGAGCCCCTAGCATCTTAGACTTATTTTTGCTTAAAAGGATGCCATATGTTACAGAACCAGTTGCTCTCAGCATTCTCTCTTCAGATCACAACCCTGTATTACTAAAAATACAAGAACGCAGGAATACAGGACCTAGTAACCCATGTTACGACTATCCCAACGCAAACTGGAAAACGTTTCGAGAAACTATTAACTCAGGAATAGTTTTACCTCCGATCCTGCACACCATAACAGATATTGAAAGGGAAACTACTAACTTAACGCAACTCATTAGAACTGCAACCACCCGTACCGTTCCTATGATCGACCCACATGAAAATCTCTGGAGGCTTCCTACGGGTCTACTACACCTTATAAAAATTAAAAATAGAGTTAGACGACTCTCTCAAAGAAAACAAAATCCCATTCTCAAAAGACTGACAAAATTATTACAATCCACAATCCATAACAACATCCTCAAATTGAAAAACGACCGCTGGACTAATTTCCTATCTAGGGTCACTCCCCAAAATAACTCACTGTGGAAAATAGTTAAGCGCCTTAAACATAAAAATGAAGGACCAGAAGCAACCATTATCCACAACAATAGATCCTGCATCACTGATGATGAGAAGGTGAATGCAATGGGGGAATATTTTCAATCAGTCCACCTTCTCACCACCAATCAAGGCCCACGCTATCTTCAAAATGCTGTTACTAATCAAGTTAACAGATTCATGGCAAATTGCACTAACCCTTTTTCTCCCCAGCAGTGCAAGATTGTCACTCCCCAGGAGATTAGAGGTATAATACATACACGAAGAAATAAAAAAGCACCAGGTCTGGACCGAATCACAAATACTACGCTAAAAAACCTTCCAAAAAGAGCTCTGGTTCTACTGACTCACCTCTTCAACGCCATCCTTTTCCTGGGGTATTTCCCGAAGTGCTGGAAAGTTTCCAAAGTGACATATATTAAAAAACCCGGCAAGCCGCAAGAACTTCCACCGAGTTACAGACCTATCAGCCTACTCAGCTCTTTGAGCAAGATCTTTGAAAAGGTGTTAGCAAAAAGGATCGAAACTCATCTAGTCACCCATAATATAATTAAGAACGAACAATTTGGCTTCCGACCAGGCCTTAGCACCGTAGGTCAACTTGCTAGAATAGTTGATCACGTAACTGAAGGTTTCAACATTAAAAAACACACGGGACTGGTCCTTCTAGATTTAGAGAAAGCCTTTGATACGGTATGGCATGATGGTATAATTTACAGAATGATTAAATACAACTTCCCAAAATACATTATCAAGGTCGTACACAGTTACCTTCACTTGAGGTCTTTTCGAGTATCCCTTCATAATACTCTCTCCTCTCGTTTTGCCACCAAAGCAGGCGTGCCTCAGGGTTCAATTCTGGGACCTACACTTTTTTGCATATTTTTAAATGCCTTGCCTACGCCCAAATCATGCCAACTCGCTTTGTACGCCGACGACATCGCGCTTTACAGTTCATCCTGGAGGATTAGTGCGATCGTAAAAAACATTAATAAGGAGTTGGAAAGAGTAAGACGGTTCTGCACTAGATGGAAGCTGAAAATTAACTCTTCCAAAACCAGTTGTCCCCTGCTCTCCCACAACATATTACTCGAGGGGAAGTCGTTTGAGTGGTTAAGAAAAATGAGATATCTAGGAATCACTCTTGATACCAAATTGAATTTTGGTGCACACACAACAAATCTTGTAGGCAACGGGAAGGCGGCTATACGATCACTTTTCCCATTGCTCAGCAAGGAGTCTGGCATGAGCCAACTCAATAAATTACTAATTTATAAAGTATTTATTAAACCAATGTTGCTATATGCCTGCCCAGCATGGAATTTTACCTGCAAAACAAACCTCAATAAATTACAGGTAATTCAAAATAAATTTCTGCGGCTAGCCACTGCCTCTCCTAGATATTATAGATTGACAGACCTACATGAGCGAACTAACATGAAATGGGTAGAGGAGGAAATTCACGATGAGGTCTGCAAATTCTTTAAGCGTATGAGTGTCTCCTCAAATCCTATTTGCAGATCCATAGGTGCATATCCAACAAATGCAAACTGGAAACATAAGAGGATCAAACACAATGTACCTGTCTTATAAACTTTACATAGTTATCAAATTTATAGTAATAAGAATATTTATAAACCTATGTATGTATTTAATAATTTATTTAATTTATTTATTTATTCACTTCTCATCTACACGTTGTATATGCATTTATTTAATTTATATATAGATTTCATCTTTTTTGCTTGTGGTTTTTTGTTAACATAAATTTTTTTCCCCACAAACTGATATGGAATTACTCGTACCGATTTGTATTTTGTACTATCACCTGTAAAGTAGGAAGTCATAGTGAAATATCACTTTCCCTACAATCAAAAATTAATGTCTATATTATTGTGCACATGTACAAATAAAAATTTATTCTATTCTATTCTAAAAATCGAAACGGACACCCCCGGGGCTTTCATTAAGTCCGACCCTTTGGAATTTAAGCCCAGCACGCCTTGGATCATCGGTGTATCTCGATGTAAACTTTCCAACAAAACAATTTTTAAACTTTTTATTAATATTAAAACGTACAAAACAGCTTCATATTTGCAACAGGTCATGGCGAAAGTGGACTTCGGGGATGTTGCCCTGGCAAGGATGAGGGCAAGACTCGGTGACCTGACCTCATACTCGTCTTCCGCCGATTTTCAACTTTACGCACTCGGTGACGCCTTGGTTAAGCACGCCGGGGCGAAGTACTTGTACATGTACGACGGCTCGATCGACCCGTTGGTCCTTGGAGCCGTAAAGGACGAATCGGACGAGTCGACATCCAGATATTTCGTCAGGCTTTGGTCCAACTTCGCCAAATACGGGTGGGTAGAAAAACCCATTATTATTATTTATTAATTTTTTTTTTTTCAACCAAATCCTACCTCCGTACAGTGAGCCGGACGTCAACTACCGCCTTTGGACCGAAGGGTCGGCCGGCGACTATCTCAAAATCGGATCTTTCAGCCGTATGGAAAAGGACTTCAACACCGACTCGATAAAATTCTGGTCAGTCTTTCCCCAATCATACCCACCGAAATAATACAATGGATAATGTATAAGAAACACTAATAAAAATGTTTTCATCATAGCTAGAGTAGAACGAAGTACATCCTAAGCCTGATACACCTTCAGATATACCTTGATAGAAGGTCGCCAAATGTGATCATCAAAGAGGTACCAGTGTTCAATTAGGAAGTATTTCTTAATCCTGATACTCTTTTAGTAAGAATGGTGGGGAGCACGGCTTACACCGCGTTCTCCTCCTGATACTCGTTGTGACCATAGCAGGAGCACAATCGAGAAGTACGGCCTACTCTTCACATACTTTTAGTAACATCTAGGCAGGAGCTCGGTTTAGAGTGCATTATCATCCTGATATTCCAGCTATTCAGATCCTAGTAGGAGCTCAATTGGGAAGTAAATCTTATCCTGATCATAATCCTGAAATTTTTCTGTTTGAGGCTCAAATCTTTCTCATCATAATTTTGATAATTTTCCACATCAATACCTTACAGGGTATACATAGAAAAACGTTTACATGAATTATAAAATATAAAAGCCTAACTAGATTTTTTCATGTTTAGAAGTAGATGACCTGAAGGTCGGGCAGGCTTTCGTTTTCCTCTCGGCTGGTTTCGAGGTAACAGCGGCGACGTTGAATCTAGCATTTTACGAATTGTCCAAGAATCCCGGGATGCAGGAACGAGTCAGGGAGGAGATAAATGAAAAAGTACGCGAACAAGGCATTCTCAGCTTCGACGCCTTCAAGGACATGACCTACCTGCACATGTGCTTGAAAGAGACGATGAGGAAGTACCCGCCGGCCCAGATCCTCTTCAGAAATTGCACGATAGAGTTCACATTTCGCAACGGCCTCGTCGTCAAACAGGGCGAGAAATTGATTATTCCCGTTTTTCAATTCATCGCAGCCACGAGTACTACCCTGAACGCTTCAGATTCGTTCCAGAAACCCTGCACATTCATGCCATTCGGCGAAGGGCCGAGAACGTGCATAGGTAAAGAAAAAAATTAATAAAAGCAATCATTTATAATTAAATTAAATAATCTTCCAGCAATGAGGTTCGCCTTGCAGCAGATGAAGTTCTGCATAGCCAAGATACTCATGTTCTACAGGATCAAACTGAACGCCAAATCGAAAACCCCCATTGAACTGAGTAAAAAGACATTCATAACATCAACAAAAGACCCTCTTTACTTCGATCTGGAAAAAGTCACCTCTTAAAAATAATAATTTAAAAATTATACACCTACAAACTGTTGTGTATATTTTATTGTTTATAATGTGTGCATAAGGTATCCACCGAAAAGATGCAGGTTATCCAACTGTAAAGAGGGAGGTCCTAATAGGTTATCCAACGTTTAAAAAATTAGGTTGTTAACAGGTTATCCACATCAAAGACAAAGGTTGTAAAAATGGTCATCCAAATGAAGAAATATTCACTTGTTTTTATCATCCAGCTCACTATAAGGAAGTAGGCTACTCATTGGTTATCCGCCTCGTTAAAAGGTATTGGATACATGTCAAAGGGTATTTATAAACCTGAATAGAAGGTTATTTATTTGTTATCCATTTTGAAGGTAGGCTATGGATTGACTATCTGATAAAAAGTAGTTTTATATTCCATGAATAATAGGATATTTCTTGACCATTTATTAGCAAGGTGCATTATGTATTGGTTATTCTTTGCGGAAAAATTTAGGTTATGTTATGGTTTTGTGGCAACTCTAGTTTATTATTCTCTGAATAGTAGGTTGTAGGTTATATTATAATAGGTTGTTAATTTGTTATCCATCTAACGGTAGGTTCTCAATAGAAGAAATTCATTTTTTTTTTCATAGGTTAACTATTATAACAAGGAATAACCTACTTATCCAACCTTGTTATCAAGAAGACTCAAAAACTAACTCCTCTTTAAAAGATTAATCCTTACTCTTCAGAATGAAAAAGTATTACCATCACATCAGTTTTGGGTTCCGCTCACTTCACTCCACTGTGCAGCAGGTGCACCTTGTTATGGCAGAAACTATTGCCGTTTCTACTGAGCGAAAACAGTATTGTTCGGGTGTCTTCCTAGACGAGGCTTTCGACCGGGTATGGCACCCGCTTGCTGTGTAAACTCAAGAAATTTCTTCCCTATCCCTTTTATCTCATCTTCCGATCCTACCTGACTGATATTGCCGTGTCTGTCAGAGAACATCCCTTTCCTTTTATATTCCAGAAAAATGTGGGGTCCCTCAAGGAAGAATCCTTGGTCTGATTCTCTTTAAAATGTACACTGCTGCCACATTCCTGAACAGTCATCTCCACATTTGACGACACGGCTATCCTCTCCTTCACTCCCACCCATCCGTTGTAAGCTCCTTTCTGCAAAGTCACCTTACCCTATTAGAAGACTGATACCGGATATGGAGAGTCAAAGTGAAAGAAAGTAAAAGTTTTCAAGTCACTTTCGCACTAAGGAAATCACTTTGTCCTCCATTATGACCGAATGACATACTGATACCGACTGCTCACATAGTACGATACCTGGGACTGTACATGGATAAAAGACTGCTGTCGAATCCATTCATTCTCCTGAAACGACAAGACATGAACCTTCGTTAAAAACACTAACTGAGACTACTTGACCAACGATCTCACCTAACCCTTAACCTTAAAGCTGACCATTTACACAACTCTCATTCGTCCGATATGGACGTACGGAATGGAAGTTTGTGGCTCAACCAAACATTCCAATTCATTCAGTTGTCCTTGAACACCTGGTTCGTTGTTCGATCAGAAGATAATGCCGCAGATCTTGCATCTCGAGATTCCAATCTATCGGGCATTTCGACGCGAAATATCTGGTTTCAAGATCTCTCTTGGGTTGCTCGTCCTTTTCATAAATGGCCAGTTAATTAATCTCTTTCTACGGAATTGCAAGAGATCAAACCTATAACTGCTTGAGTACCTTATGAAGACAAATCACAAGAATCTTTCTCTAGGATTCTTCTTCTTCTTCTTGGCAAATATCTGCATATTGTTTCTGACACTCCGAGTCTATATGCCTACGGAGTCCGCAGTGTCCAGTTAGCTGTCCATCTATTATTCTAATCCTAGCACGTCCTAGATTTAGTAGTTCTACCGTTAGTTTCTGCTACAGTCCCATTGAGCGGAGGTCTTATTATTAATCCATTGTAGAATGGATCCGCGTTTTTGGCAGTTTGGTAAGCCACAAACAGTTTCAAGGCTAATAGGAGTCCTCATTGAATTTTCCTTGGCCAATTTATCGGCCCCCTGTGTGCCCTGGCACCCAAGATTTATGTAACAATATTAATTTTGTACTGTTTATAATTTATCTAAACATATGTTGAACAATTATAAAAATTAAGATGAGTGACGTTAAAATTAGGTTGGCCCTGCAGACAAACGATATCAAGTAGGCCTGTTTGTCGCTTGGAGTCAATGGCAGTGATTGTCGAACCTTTGAACTGTACGCACCTATTTTTCGTAACCGACTTTTTCCCTAACCTATTAATTAAGTGAACACCTACCGGCAAAAATTTATAACCTCAGTGAAGGCATCACGTCACCAGATCCCCGACCATCTGAAGAATATATGATCAAGATTAAAAATCACCTCTCACTTGATATAGACTCCAGAGTTAATCCTATACGCTTGATTTGACCGACGAATTCTGCTACCTCGATCTGAACAACATTACCTCCATCAAAAACACCAGCTGATTGCACATTAAAATGTTTTAGTTTGAATAATATTTAGTTTGGTTTACTTTGTTAAGTTTTAGTATTTCCCTGACCAGTTATGGTTAAGAATTTGTTTGTATATGTTAAATGCTAACAGAAGTAATAGCATTGATTTATATTGAAGTAAAGAGATCAGGGATGAAGCCATGTAGGTGGGTTGGAGAGTTGGAAGAGATGACAAAAATACCCTTTTATATACTCATTGACATGTTGGAAGAGGTTGCAATTGAAGATTTTTTCCATTTCCAAGATGAATTCTACAACCAAGAAGATGGATTGGCAATGGGTAGAAGATTGCCCCCAATTCTGGCGGATAATTTTTCTTCATTTGGCTCCATGTGGGGTGATTCCCCTATTACGTCCACCCTTGGATCCGCCACTGGTCATGGTTGATCATCCCAAAAGCATTGGAGAAGTCAAGCAGCACAGAGTGCATACGTGAATATCCCACGTCGTATATCTTCATTAATTTTTTGTAACTATGTTGATGTCGAAAAAAGATTGAAAAGGTGAAAGCGGTGAACAGTATCAAGCAAGTTATTAATTTGTAATGATTTCTGGAGCTTTAGATCAATCATTTCGTCACTCCCGAAGATTTGGTTTGTTTTGGCCTCTCGTTGTTAACCGAACAATACCTAATACTGGTTACTGGGCCACTTCCCAAAGAACTGGAAGGTTGCCAAGCTCATATTCAATAAAAAACCAGGCAAACCGCATGATTCGCCTACTAGCTACAGGTCCATAAGCTTACTAAGTTCGGCCAGTAAAATTTTTGAACGTCTCATACTCATCAGATTGGAGAGGCACATCAAAGACGCGCGCATCATGAAAGAAGAGCAGATCGGTTTTCGCCCGGGGCTCTCGACTACTGCACAGCTTGCTAGAGTCGGTTTTCGCCCGGGGCTCTCGACTACTGCACAGCTTGCTAGAGTGGTCGACTTTATTACCGGGGAGTTCAATAAAAAAACATACCGGCATGGTTCTTCTTGACATGGAAAAGGCTTTCGACACCGTCTGGCAAGACGGCATAGTGTACTGGCTGATAAGATAGAAATTTCCAGGATACCTCGTCAAGCTAGTGCACTCATACATAAGCAATCGGTTATTCCGAGTCACGCTCAACGAAGAGATTTCTCCCCCTTTTAGCATAGCAGCAGGCGTGCCACAGGGATCAATCTTGGGACCATGTCTTTTTACAATCTTCCTAAATGCGATGCCCACAATTAAATCGTGTCAAGCAGCACTTTACGCAGATGACATAGCGCTTCTATCATCTTCCTGGAGACCAAGCGCCATCACAAACAAGACCAAGCGCCATCACAAACAGGCTGAACAGCGAAATAAAAAAAATAAATCGCTTCTGTCTAAGGTGGAAACTATTGATTAACGTTCCTAAATGTGAAGCGATCCTATTCACAAAGAGCCGACCCACAAAAACCACAAAAAGTGCAACAGTCAACATTAATGGAACTGTCATCCCATGGTCAGAAAAGGTAACCTACCTGGGCTTAATATTGGATAGAAGACTTCACTTTGGGCCTCACATAATGAATATAATCGCAAAAGCCAAATTAGCCATCAGAATTCTATTCCCACTATTGGCTAAGGAATCAGGATTGTCAATGCACAACAAGCGACTTATTTACAAGGCGGTTTGTCAAACCCATGCTGCTCTACGCCTCTCCACTATGGAGTTTTACATGCAAGTCGAATCTGCTAAAAATACAAAGGATGCAGAACAAATTCCTAAGACTAGTCATCTCGCAGACGGACCAGGCTAGATCAACTCCACAGTGAAACTGACATATCTTGGATTTACGACGCGGTTAAGGCACAAACCTTAAATCTTCACTGTAAACTCGCCTCAAACAAGAACGTCCTCTGCAGATTGATTGGAAATTACGACGCCCGGATTCCTTGGAAGCACAAACGATTGAAAACGATCCTACACTAAATAATTTGTACACACACGTGTCCACACTCGTTACACTTATCTAACTATTTATTTATTTATTCCTATAGAATAGACGCATGCACATTGGAACACACACATGTCCACACGTTACATTTACCTATCTATTTATTTATTTATTCTTAGAGTGTGGATACATGTGAGTTCATGTGCATATGTATGCAATCACCTATTTATCTGTGAATGTATGTATATATTTACTTATTTATTATCAAATTTATTATCTATTTATTATCTAATTTATTATCTTATTATCTAAGTTATTATCTAAGTAAATATTTATTATATTTATTTATACTACTTATGAATATTTTACTTTTTAAATTATACATATAATGTTTATACTTAATTTATAAATATGTACATGTAAGTTATTTAAATTTGTTATCTCTCAAAAAGGTGATTCACACTTAAAGTAGTTTTAAATTGTTCACATAATTTAAACTCATTACTATGAATCAAAAGTGACAGCGGGGTTTTTTTTATAATCAGTTTTTTCCCCCGCTAAACGCAGAAACAGACTACATAATACAAAATGATTACAATATTAAGGTTGTAGAAGGTTATAAAGCCCAGTGTCTTTCGCACTTCTAACGCAAATGTAAAACGAGTCAGGTTGCAATCTGCACATATGTAAATATTTGGTTTAGGGGCAATGACGGTGCTTCCTGAGATTCCTTATCTTGTAAAACAGGTATTTCGAGGCCTTTCGATCATGCAAGAGACATCTAAAGAACCCGGAGACTGAAACACAGTCATACTCTAGATGACTTCGCACCAGTGATTGATAGAGCAATTTTATTGCAAAAGGGTTCTTGAAAGTCAACTGTTTGCCGGAGTGCGAATCCCAAATTTTTAAACGCTTTATTTTTTACGAAAATTAACTTCTTACTTCTTCTGAAAAAAAGCTATTAGGACACTATACTGAACATACCGAATATTTTAACGGAGCATGCACTTCAAAGGCCTGGAGATTGATAGTTAAATCAATTTTCCCAGAGGGAATAATTATTTCGAATATACAGTGCCACGCCCCCATGAGCTCTTCCTCCATCAAACTTTAACCTCTTTAGAAAAATCACTATAACCTCTCAACATAAAGGATCCCGTTTCCTTAAGGTCAGTCTCCTGAAGAGCCTGAAGAGCCAATAAAAGGAGTATGGTCCACCATGATTCTTCAAAAAGCAATAACTATTTTTCAGCCCTCCTTCATTCCATTGGATGATTGATTCCATATTAATTTCAAATTTTCAATTTTATACCTCACACGAGTCAGCTAGACTGACTACATAAGATTTTCCACAACTATTTTCCTTGGCCTCCCCTTCTTTATTTTATTTTATTTTTTTTTGGGGGGGGAGGGAGGTAATTTTGAGGGACGAAGCTATTTGATACGAAGGTGTTTGATGTTCTCTATCATTCGGAGAAGCAGAATGAGGGAAAGAAGTAGAGATGGGCAAAAGAATCGAGAATATCTAAAAGAATCGATTCCTTTAAGTGAGTTGCGGTTCAGTTCAGGTAACTGGAGGGGACGGATACGTCACACGTTTCCGGACGATTCTTTTTCCTGTAACGACTCCTTTTGATCCTTTTGATTCTTCTTCTTCAACTCCTGGAGTCGGATTTCGACTCTTCGATTCTTTTGACGATCATCAACTCTGCGATTCTTTTGATTCCTTCGATTCCTCAACTCCCGGAGTCGGATTTCGACTCTTCAATTCTTTTGGCGACTCATCAACTCTGCGATTCCTTTGATTCTTTCGATTCCTCAATTCCCGGACTAATTTGATTCTTTCGATTCCTGAACTCCTGGACTCCCAGTTTGATTCTTTCGATTCCTCACTCCCGTCTTCTGTTTTCTCCGCGGGCAATCAATAAATTAATAATTAACGTTTTTTAAATTAAATTAATAATTAACGTTTTTTAAATTAATAAATTACCTACTTTTTCCAACTTTTACAATTTTATTTACAAATTACAATATGCAAAATACCGTATAAGTAATAAATATGTATAAATAAATTACACTTAATTAAGGTTTTTAGTTGAGATAAATTAACTAATTGTAATAAATTAAATGGTCAAGCGGACCACGAAATTAGTGAATTTAATGTATAAATAAATTCATTCAGTAAATTTTCTGTATGGGATGTAAATTAATACAATTAATTTAATTTTTTGCTTTTATTTAAAATGTGTAAACATTAAAAAAAATTATATTTTTTAGCAAATTCATTTACGTAGCCACCTTCGATTCCTCAACTCCCGGACTCACAGTTTGATTCTTTCCAAGATCCAAAAGCTTCTGCTATTGTCAAAGTTGATAAATATATAGCAGAACCTCTTGTGGACCGTCGCACTGACCCTATGGTTTGGTGGAACGATAGGAAAATTCTATTTCCTAATTTGTATAATCTAGCCTTGAAAATATTGTGCATTCCTGCAACCTCTGTTCCCTGTGAGAGAATTTTATCCAAAGGGGATCAAATATGTACCCAGATGTATGTATGTCAGATATGTACCCAAAAAAGGTCCCGTCTGACTTCATCAAAAATTGCACAAATGCACTTAATCAAAATAAAGATATGCTTTAGAGCAAATAATAGTTAAAACTCTGAAGGTACAAAGTTGGTTTACTATTTTGATTGGAACATGTAGATTTCATAAGTTGAGAATTGTTTTTAAAAAATTAAACTTAAGTGATTTACTCTACTGCCCTAACTGAATGAATGGTGTAAGTATGTAAGCTATGTAAATGGGAATGATTGTATTTAAGAGTGAAGCATCATTCATTCAAATTTCAAAGACCTAGATGTTGGCAGCACACAGAGCCTAACCCCAATATCTGGGGTAGGTGATTCTCAGGAGCTGTTGGCAATCTGTTGTGAAACTGGAACTGTCAGAGTGTCGGTGGACTCTGAGAAGTGATAGGCCCAACTCTGCACCTGTGGGTAATGTGCACACTCGTCTTTGGTTTTGTGCCTATATAAATCAGCAATCAGTTAATAACATATTTTTTATATCTTACTTTTTTTAAATTTTTATAACAAATGTAAATGCTGGTTGATTCATAAGTAAGATACCTAAGTAATAATTCATTAATAATATGTATCAATAAAGATATGTGATTTTTGTTGTTTTATTTTTAAAATAATATTTATTTTTATTTACTTCCAAGAAATGTGCAAAGAATAATCATCGACTAACGGTCACTAATCACTACACAAAATAATCATTACATTATATACAATTACACTGAGTACAAAGAAATAAGGCTTTCATTAGTATTATTATCATCATTATTTTTCTTTCTAAAAATACAATGATTTGATACAATTTATATACTTAACATTAATACTATATTACCTTTTTCGTTGTGGTAAATAAATACTAGAATTGAAAATTAATTTGAATTATGGCGGGAAATTTGGATGAAGGGAGAAACCAATAAACGAAAGCACCAGGAGTGGGGGGAATCAAAGAATCGATATAAAGAATCGACTCACTTCAGGGATTGAATCGAAGGGAATCGATTCACTTAAAAGAATCATACTTTCCACCACTAGAAAGAAGTCAAGAAGAGTTTAGTGGCGAAAGGGAAGGGGGAGGTAGAGTGGGGACAAAAACTTTGACAGAGGGAAGATTGATTCATTTAAGTGAAACGATTCCCTTCGATTCAATTCCTGGCGTGAGTCGATTCTTCGATTCCCCCACTCCTGTTACAAGTGCTTTTTGTTTATTGGTTCCTCCCTTCATAAAAATTTCCCGCCATAATGCAAATCAATTTTCAATTCTATGCATTTGCCACAACGAAAAATGTAATATATTTAATATTAATTGTATCAAATCATTGAATTTTTAGAGAGAAAAGTAATGATAGTAATACCAATGAAAACAGTAAGATATTTCTTGGAACTCAGTGTAATTGCATATAATTTATTGTTTATTCTTTGCACATTTCTTAGAAATAAATAATAATAAATATTATTTTAAAAAACTCAACAAAAATAACATATTGATACATATTATTAATGAATTATTACCTATATATCTTACATATAAATCACCCATTATTTACACTTGTTATAAAAATTAATGAAAAGTAAGATATTAAAATTGAGTTATTAACTGATGGTTGATGTATATAGGCACAAATTCACAGACGGGAGTGCACATTACCCACATGTGCAGAGTTGGGCCTATCACTTCTCAGAGTCCATCGACACTCTGACAGTTCCAGTTTCACAACAGATTGCCGATGGGTCCTGACAATCACCTACCCCTTAGGTTATGCTCCGTGTGCTAATTACAGTTAGATCTTTCCAGTGCGTTTAAATGAAATAGCTGTTGTTAGCACACGATGCAATCAGTAACATTCACATCCTCATGCACTCTTAAATACAATCATTCCTATTTACATCCCTTAATACTTACACCATTCATTCAGTTAGGGTGGTTGAGTACTCAATTTTCCTCAATCACCCTTAATATGTATACATAAATTCTAAATGTGATCTTGTACATAATCTAACCTTAATTCTAAATTTATGCAATGTACAAGTCCCAATCTAAAAAGTATACCAACTTATGCACCTTGATAGTTGTTGGCATTATTTACTCTAAAACATATCTGTACATTTGATTTGAGTTCACAGTTTGGCAAGGTACTTACTTGAGAATGACTCACTAAAAACTGCAAAGGCAAAATTAAAATGTAAAAGATAAATATTTCGGTTTCAGTGAAGCGATGACTGCCTGAAACCAGACTTTAACGAACTTTTGACTTCAAAGCGAACAAAAATAAAACCGAAATGGTGAAGGTGAACAAATTCTTTTCTTCTTTTGGCCCATGCAATTCCCTGATTCATTAATCCCCTCTGTTATACCTTATAGGACCTGAGCTTGAGCTAGCATAGCTTAATACCTATTTTTTAGTTATACTACAATAACAAGTACGAAAAACATATTTAAAATAAATTCTAACAAAACCAATGCATTGATGTTTTGAGATGGGAATGAATAATAATAATAATTTCAATGAATTATTTTTTTCATCTCAGCCAAGACCTTACTGTAATAATTGAAATAATTAGTGAGGTCAATTATGACCGCTAAATATGTATGGATAAATATAATAATAATAAAAATTATCGATAGAT